CTCCCGGCCACCCGGGGCACTGTTTCTCACTGAGCCTCGCGGGCAGCCCCAGGCCGGGGTGCAGGAAACCCACTGTGACCCTGGGGTGAGCACCCTCCCACAGGCTGCACCACTGCTAGCTTTTCTTTGGGCAAAACATGTTTGCATCCTGCCAGGTGCGGTGGCACATGCCTGTAATCCCGACACTGGGGGGGAGGCTGAGGCAGGAGAATCGCCGAGAATTTAAGGCCAGCCTGAACTACACAGCGAGACCCTGTCTCAAAAAAACAAAACAAGGCCTGGGATTTAGCTCAGTGGTTCTGCTACCTGCCTCGCAAGCACAAGGTTCCGAGTTCAATCCCCAGTGCCAAAAGAAAAAATAAAATCAAAACAGAAAAAAAATGAAAAAAAATATGAAAAATTTTAAAACATTTACACAGTTTAGCTAATTCTCACAACAAATTCTAGGTTGTTTGTTCTTTTGTGGTACTGAGGATTAAAACCAGGGCCTCATACATGCAGCCAGGGGCCTTGAACTACACCCCAAACCTTAGTTTTAGGTATTGGAACCTCTCAAAGATGAGGAAACTAGCCAGACATGGTGGTGCATATGTATAATCCACTACTCTGGGAGGCTGAAGCAGGAGTGTCCCAAATTCAAGTCCAGCCTGGTTATCTTCTGCATACCGCACTAAATCTACAGTGTGTATGCTTTTAAAATCTACATTATACTTCAATCGTTTTATTCTTTTTAAGACAAAGTCTTGCTATGTAGTTCAGGCTGGCCTTGAACTCACAGTGATCCTCCTGTCTTGGCCTCCTGAGTGCTGGGATTACAAGTGTGCACCATCACGCCTGGCTCAATAACAACTTTTAAAAAAACTTTTTAATGGGCTTGGGTCATAAGGCTTGCTATTTGTTTTATTTGCAGTGTTTAGCATTGAACCTGGGACCTAGCACTGAGCTACATTCCCAGCCCTTTCTATTTTTTCCTCCCTTTTTTATTCTTGGACAGGTTCCTGATAAGTTTAGGCTCAGACTTGCAGTCCTCCTGCCTCAGCCTCCCAGGTGCTGGGATTGCAGGGCCCAGGAAGCACCACACCCGGGGCTCTCACCGGCCACGCTCCCCAGAGTGGTCCACGTCCACCACGTTCCACATCACACAGGAGTCGTCAGAAATGACGATGAACGGCCAGACGTCCTGCGGCCTGACGCCCAGCTCCTCCTGCCGGCTGCGCTCCAGATGCAGGTTGTGGTAGGACAGCTCCTTGATCAGGAAGTGGGCGGCCCCTGGAAGGGCGTCCTGACTCAGCTGCCCAGGCTGCCTGGCCACACAGGCCGGCGCCCAGGCTGTGGATGTGTCTGGCTTCCACAGACCGCTATGCAGGGGACAGCGCCCGCTCTGAGAGGTCCACACAGCTGCCCCCCTAAAGCTGCAGAAAACGAACGGGCTCAGTTGCCGTGCCACCTACCGACTCCTGCGCTGTTGAAGACGCTGGGCAGGACCAGCATGATGTGGTTGGGCCAGTACTTCTTGTAGATGGCCATCTCATACTCCTTGATGACCAGCACGTGCAGGTGGCTGGCGCCATCCATGGCATGGTACAGGTTAAAGAGCCCGTGTTCGTGCCGCCCAGTCGTCGGCGTGAATGTCGGGCTTTTTATGCACTCCTGGCTCTGCAGGGCAGAGGTGCGAGAGGAGTCTGTCAGCCTGCCTGCTGCTCCTCCCCTCTGCTCATTTTGGTTTGGTTTGGTGGCTGTGGACTGACTGTCCCCTCCTCTGAAATGCAATTTTGCAGGGTCTCGCCTGGAAAGCTGGGACCTACTTCCCAGGGGGACTTAGGAGTGCCTCTGACGAATAAAAGGCAGGGAAAACGAGCCCTGTTGGCCTTGAACAGTGCCTGGCGTGGAGCTGTCCCCTGGATGTGGCTCCCCCGTGTGCCTGCGGGGCCAGGGCCAGCCCAGCCCTGAACAACTCAAGCCCAGGCCATAAATGTGCATGGCAGCTGGTGCTTGAGGCCTGCTCGGCTTAGAAGGCTGGGGACAAATGTCCCCTTCTATGTCACATTCACGGAGCCACTGCACCCTGACCCCAATGTGAGCTGGCTTCCTTTTTAGTTTGCTTGTTTGGTGCTGGGAATTGAGCCCAGGGCCTTTGCACGGAGCTGCATTCCCAGTCCTTTTCATTCTGAGGCAGGGTCTCACTAAGTCACTAAGTTGCCCAGACTGGGCTTGAACTTGTGATGCTCCTGCCTCTGCCTCCCAACCTGGGCAACTTAGTGACTTAGTGAGACCCTGTCTAAAATAAAAAATAAAAATGGCTGGGGATGCAGCTCCGTGCAAAGGCTCTGTTTAGTAACACGCGTGCACGCACGCACACACACCCACATGGGATTACTATCGCCCAGCTTGACCGGTGAGGAAACTGAGGCTGAATAACAAAAACAGCAGGGCTCGGGCTCCAGCCCCCAGTCCACAGCCCCCTGGAGCCCATGCCCCGCGTACCGTGTCGGTGACCAGCGGCAGACGCATGCTCTCCAGCTGGCCGCCGGGCTGGCTGAAGACGAAATGGTGTTCCTTGGACTTGGGGATGATGAAATGCAGCTGCACCTCCTCGCCGAGCGTGGAGTAGGAGAACGCGAAGGCGTGCAGGCCAGACTCGTACGGCTGGGCGAGGGGGACACCGCCGACGTCAGACGCCACCGCCGGCCCCGATCCAGGGCCGCACTCAGGTCACGGCCACCACCTCTGCCCCCAGCGCAAGGAACCACGGGCGTCTCCCAGATGCACAGCTCCACCTGTCCCTTCCCTCTCTCTGTGTGAGTGGACCCGGCCCTGTGCACGGCCAGCTACAGCGGCGCGCTGCACGTCCCACTTGAGCTCCTAGCAATGCAGATCCTACTGCAGGGGCTGTGCAACCGCAGCCAGCAGTCGTCCCGAAAGAGCTAAAGACATCCCAAAGTTGTGTTGCAGGGTCTCCGGCACCACCCATAGCTGAGTCTTGGAAGCAGCCCAAACCATGGAGCACTATGCTGCCATAAAGGATAAACCTGAGTCATTTGTTGGACAACGGGTACGCCTTATTTTTTTCCTACCGGGAATCGAACTCGGGACCTTGTGCTTGTGAGACAGGCAGCGGTACCACTGAGCTAAATCCCCGGCCCTGCACCTTGAGCCTTTAATGTTAAGTGAAACAAATCAGACACCCAAGCTGAAGAATCGCGTGGATTCGCTTTTGCGAGGAACCCAGAGTATAAATAAAGAACAAAATAAAAGATGGCCGACGGGAAACAGGGAGCTCAGATCTTTTGCAAAAGGGAAGGGAACCAAGAGATGGAGGAGGAAGGGGGTGAAAAGCGGATTCTGATGCGTCCGTGCACGACTTCCCAGGGTGAGCCTGATCATTACGTCCTGCAAACGTGCTAATAAAACTTGAGAAGAACAATCAGCAGTTCTATTTGCTGCAAAGAAATTCTTCTAACTTTTTTTCTTTCATGGAGCCGGAGTTTTTCTTTCAGGGAAGAAAAATACCCGTGAAAATGATCTCTTGCATTTCTCATGGGAGTTGGGGCACAGACACAACACATCTTAATTTCCTTCCCTCTCTTCCTCCACCTCTTGGTGCACTTTCCCTTCAAGATCTGTGTCCCTACTTCCCGGTATCTGTCTTTTATTTGGCTCTTTATTTATACTTTGAGTTTTTCATATAAGAGGAACCTCATGATATTTAAGCTTGTGTGTCTGATTTATTTCATTTAACATTACGGATTACTGATTTTAATACTTTAGAAAAATTGCTCAGAGGTGCTTTCTGATTTTGTTGACCATAAAGTTGCATAGTTTAAAAAACGCGTTGGTGCTAAGTCAAGCATGGTGGTGCATGCCTGTGATCGATCTAAGCACTCTGGGAGGCTGAGGCAGGAGAGTCACAAGTTCAAGCCCAGCCTGGGCAACTTAGCAATTTAGTGAGATTCTGTTTCAAAAATAAAAACTAAAAGTGGGCTGAGGATGCAGCTCAGTAGAATGCCCTGTACCCAGTTCAATCCCCAGTACCGGAAAAAAAAAAAAAAAGGAAAAAAAATCATTGCTCAAGAAGATCCCACTCATAGAGAAGCTCATGGCCAAGCTGAGTTGGAGAAATAAAGCATCTGGGTATCGAGTCCCTGGAAAGGAGACTAAGATTCCAGGCTCACCCACCCAGGCATCTGCTACCTTCCGCGTCTGCAAACCCTGCCCCATCCTTCCCCTCCTTTCCCTTGGTTAGGTCAGAAATGAGGAGAAACGCTAAAAGCTGGGTGCAGTGGCCCACGCCTATAATCCCAGCACTCAGGAGGCTGAGGCAGGGGGATTGGCATGAGTTCCAGGCCATCAGGGCTACATAGTGAGTTTGAGGCCCACCTGAACTGCATAGCGAGACCCTGTCTCAGAAAAATTAAAAGCAACAAAACAAAAAATGAACACCAGACTTCCCACACCCCTGACTCAGGGCCCCTGGCGCCCAGCCAAGATGACACCTCAGTGCCCACAGCCCCACTCCGCTCACGGCCACCGCTGTCCCCCTGCCTATGAGGAAAGGGTGCACATTCTGTACAGCGCCCAGCTGGAAGTGTGTGGGGTTCGGTCTGAAATCGGAAAGTTCTCCAGCACCCGCTCAGGGCTGGCTATGGATTGTGAGATTAGAGTAAGGGGCTTTGGTGACCGTCTCCCGGAGGGTGCAGATGGGCCTGAGACACCAGAGCCCCGGGCTGGCACCTTACCATTCATGCCTGTCCGGAGCAAATTAAATGAACTTCTGTCTTTCTTTCCCTGCCTTCCATTCTTTTTCTGGTACCGAGGATTGAACCCAGAGTCATCACACTGAGCAACAGCCCCAGCACTTTAAAAACTGTTTTTTATGATTTTTTTTTTTATTATTATTTCAAGACAGGGTCTCTTTAAGCCACTAAATTGCCCAGGTTGGGCTTGACCTTGCTTCAGCCTCCCAGTGTTGCTGAAATTACAGGTGTGCGCCAAACAAATATTTTCCATCACAGAGCATCAGGAAGGACTGATAGGAAAAGTGCCTAGACTTGCGGCTCAGCATACAGCAGTGCTCGATGGTGCAAATTCTTTGCCTTGGTGACGCGGCTTTGAACCCGCCACCCCAGGCTTCCCCAGGCTGTGGAATCGCGTTCTGGAATGTTCTGGAACGTTCTGGAATGTTCTGCAGTCACGTCTCCCTCCCAGGCCCAGCCCTCAGGATGCTGTGCACAGCCGCATCCCCAGTGCCCGGGACACAGAAGCACAGGAAGGGAGTGTATGTGGCACCGAATCACCGGGACCGAGAGCGAGGACACCCAGCCATCACTGCTGCAGGCCACCCAGGAGAGGCCGCCTGCGTAGGGGGCAGCAGGGAAATGCGGGGCCCGGATGTCCCGCCGGCGCCAGCGCCTACCTGGTAGCGGGGGTGGGAGCCCATGTAGTGCTGGCACTGCTCGCAGTGGTGGTACGTGTTGTGCGCCGCGTACTTGGACAGCCGCATCCGGGCCGTCTGCCGCCGCACAGGCGGGTCCTCGGGCCTCCGGGTCCCTCTGTCTGCACAAAGGCCCCAGGGGCCCCGAGCGGTGGGGCAAAGCCCCTGTCCCACCCCTGCATGTCTTCACCAGGTGTGACAAAAAATATGGCGACTGCAGCTGCCCAGTGCCACCCAATGGAAAGGTGGCTCCTAAAACCACAACGCTGTGTCCTCGTCCACCTGAGTCACCGGATCTGGCACCGGGTGACTCCCGGCTCCTCCCCAGAGTCACAGTGACCATGAAGGGAGACGTTTGGAATCCACTCAGGACGTGGAGGCAGCCAGGACAGCGCAGCTAAAGACCCTCAGGAGAGAGGACCCCAGAGCTGCTCGGGAGGTGGTGAGGAGATGGGATGAGGGTGTGCAGAACCAGGGGAGGATTGTGAGGGGGATTCGTGGCAAAGCGGCTTTTGTAATAAAACCTGTTAACATCCACCTTATTTTCCAGTCACACCTCCTACTTAAGGATCTACTAAACACCAGTTTAAATTGAGTGCCAACTTAATACGCAGATGCTGTAATGCTGATGAATTGCCCCGATTTTTTTCTTCAAATGATCTGGCAAGATTAAGGAGTTTTTTTTGGCCTGAGGTTATTCTTTTTGTTTTTTCCAGTACTGGGGATTGAACCCAGGCCCTTTGCACTGTGCTACTTCCCCAGCCCACCTCATTCTTTATTTTGAGACTGGATCTCACTAAGCAGCTCAGTAATGGAAGCTCCCTTCCTCCTACGAGCAGGTGGCTGCCCTTCTTGGTTTGGAAGTAGGTCCGGGTCCATCATCACCACCAGATTCATTGTTAAGATGACACAGCTCAGCCCAGCTGAGCTCCAGTAATATATAAGTTGGCAGGAGCTGGGCATGGTGTACACACCTGTGATCCCAGCACTCTGGGAGGCTGAGGCAGGAGGATCTCAAACAACCAAACAAAGGGCAACAACAGTGACTCTCAGGCAAAGCATAGTCCCAGTCTGACCTTCGCTCTTGATGCCCTGCTGGTGAGAACAGATCAGACTGGCGTCTTCGTACTTGGGATCATGGATGAGGTAATCAAAGGGCATCTTTTGGAGCAGCTCCGGGTCCGGCCAGGGGTCACTGAGCTGGGCATAATGCCCCTCAGACTCTTCCCAGGGGCCTGTGAGGTGACAGGGAGGGAGAGGACAGCATGAGGGAGAGAAGGATGTGTTTTACGATGCCTGAGTGGAGGCCAGGAGCAGGGCTGTTGTTTACTAGTGGCTTCCTGGGGAAGCTGAGGCAGGAGGATTGCCACATCTCAGAGCCTCCTGCCATGGTCCAATTTTCGGGACTGTGCCAGGGAAGTGACAATGTGCCTTCTGGTCCGTGTCCCCCAGGAGCCGGCTCTGCCCCTTTCTGTGGGCACAGCCTGGGCTCTGCTCCACACTGAAACTACTTCCTCTTGGGTCCTGCCAGGGCCCTGGGCCCACATGTCCTACAGTGCCACCCCTGGGACTGCAGAGTCCGGCACCCAGCCAGCCCTCACGGTGCCACCGTGAGTCAGCGCCAGGACTCTGCCTCCTGTCTGCTGCCAGCAACACTTACAGCCCCAACCCCACTTTCGGCATGACCAGCACCACCGGGTGCCCCCCAGTGCATGCTGGCTGCCCGCGGGTTGTACAACTTGGATGGCATGACCCTCGCATTATACGAGCTGTCACCTGCAGTACACCGAGATGTTAGTCCGCAGTGATCCGTGCTGTGCTCATCACAGTCCCCTAACTGTCCAGAATAGACGAGCAGGGATGGGGCTGGGCGCGGAGGCACACACCTGTCATTCTAGCACTCTGGGAGGCTGAGACAGGAAGAGTCCAAGTTCCAGCCCAGCCCAGGCAACTTGGTGACTTAGTGAGACCCAGTCTCAAAATAAACTTTTGAAAGGGCTGTGGATGTAGGTCAGTGCAAAGGTGCTGGGTTCAATCCCCAGTGCTGGGGAAAAAAGGAGGAGGAGGAGGAACAGGAGGGAGATGAAGACTTACTATATACTCTGTAGATGCCCAGCACTTCCTGTGTGTTTCTGATCTTCCAACGCCCTGCACAGCTGCAGTAACTATTTTATAAGGCAAAACAGAGGCGGTGGTGTGTTCCGCCACAGGCCTGGACGTTTGCGGAAGTGGGTTCTAATCCTGCCCCTGTCACTGGTCTCTCCCCGGAAGTGAGACAGCAGCCCTGCAGCGTACGTGCTGGCCGTCACCACTGTGGGGCCGTGGGGGCCCCAAGCCGGCCGGCCCTGGTCCCAAGTTCTGTCCTCTTCGGACTGGGGGGCGCTGTGCGGGGCCCTCACGTGTGTGAGGACAGGGCAGGGCCTCTGCTCAGGAGTCCCTCTCACTGCTCTTTGTTTTCTAACTTTCGGTGTATTTTATGAGCGCACACTTGCAGCGCGTGATGACGACATGCTCACGGGGAACCGGCGTGTACCCAGCGCTTCTTCAGGCTCTCTCCAGCCCCTCCTCCTCCTCCCGCCATCTCTTAGTCCCCTTCCTTTTTGCAAAACCTCTATCTCCTCCTACCCTATGAGCCATCTTTTATTTTATTCTTTATTTATACTCTGGGTTTTTCATATAAGAGAAACCATAAGTGATTTATTTCATTTAACATTATGGTCTCAAGATGCATCCATTTTCCTACAAATGACTCAAGCTTATTCTTCTTTATGACAGCATAGTACTCCACAGTGTGTGTATATATGTGTGTGTGTGTTGCACACCACATTTTCTTCTTCTTCTTCTTTTTTTTTTTTTTGGCACTGGGGATTGAACTCGGGTCCTTGTGTTGCGAGGCAGGCGCTGGGACCACTGAGCTAAATCCCCAGCCCTTACACACCGCATTTTCTTTATCCATTCATCTCCTAATGGACATGTTGGCTGCTTCTAAGAGTTAGCTGTTGAGGTTAGCACCGGTAATTTTCTCACTGCAAAGCCCTCTAAGGTTTGGCTCTGATGCTGAGGAGAAGGAGCAACAGCGGAAAGAACCAGCAGGGCCACGGGAGGAAAACCCCATCGTGGCAGCAACGGCACAGTGCCAGGTGCAGAGCCCTGACAGAGGCAGCAGAGCCCCGGCCCGGCCAGAGCCGACTCTCACCGGTGCCGATCTCTGCCTCATCGTACACGTCCACCTCCGTCAACCGCACGAGCATCCGGGACAGGTTGCTGAGGAACTGCAGGTAGGCGCCCGTCTTTCCAATCTGCGGAGACACAGGCGTGAGGAGCACCGCCCGCTCCAGTCAGGCTCGGAGGACGCAGCCTGAAGCCAAGGGCAGTGGATGCGGGCGGCAGGAGCAGCAGGTCTGGCGCTCGTCACCTGAGCCCACGCCACGCTGCACCAGACGTGGTTGCTTTATTTGCTTTAGCAGCACTGCGGGCGGAACCGGGGCCTTCACGAAGAGCTGCACCCCCAGCCCTTTTGTTTTTCAGTTTTGAGACAGCGCTTCACTAAGTCACCAAGTTGCCAGGCTGAGCTGGAACTTGAAATCCTCCTGCCTCAGCCTCCCAGAGTGCTGGGATGATGGGCGTGCACCATCACACCAGCCACCAGCCATGTTTTAGAAAGGACGTTCTCAAAAGATGAAGAAACCCTGCTTCAGAACAAAAGAAAAAGAACTGGCCCTGTGAAACAGTATTCTCCAGGAATCTCACACAAGACACCATCGGGTGAAACCTCACTTCTCTCCTGCTGAGCCCATGGAAAGCACTGTTCTCTTCATCTTTCTCTCTCTTCCTGGATCAGAGGCTCTGCTCCTCCGCCTGGCACTGGCCAGCGCTCTCCCTGTGCGTCCAGTTCATTTAGGGTACAGCTGATGTGGGGCCCAGAGCTCCTCCGCCCACCGCCACCACCACTGCACGTTCCAATACCTCAGCCCAACTCCTGCTCTGGAGCAGGAACTCAGTACATCTTGGCAAACAGAAATAACTAATGTCAAAAATGAAACATGAGGGGCAGGGATTTAGCTCAGTAGTTCTGCCACCTGCCTTGCAAGCACAAGGTCCCAAGTTCAATCCCTGGTCCCCAAAACAAAGCAAAACAAACAAAAACATTTGGAATATATGTAACATTCCCGTTTATATAACATTTCATTTAAAAATGAAAATATGAGCCAGGCATGGTGGTGCATGCCTGTAACCCCAGCATTTGGAAGGCTCAGGCAGGAGGATCGCGCAGGTTCAAGACCAGCTTGGGCTACATAGAGTTCAAGGCCAGTCTGAATGACATAGCAAAACCTTGCCTCAAAAACCAACCAACCAACCAACAAACAGAAAATCTGACATACACCCAGGAGAAGCTCCAGAGAAAAGATCGACAATACATAAAATCAACAAAGGATGAAAATCTATGCTATGCAAAGACTACAAATCAACAAAACAGTTGAACTGCCTAAAAAGAAAACAAACAAGAGATGCACACAGGAAAAAAACATCAAAAAAGAAGTAACAACCAGTGAACATGTAAAAATACATCCAGTCTTGTTAGTAACACTGTGATGTACTATTTCTCTCCTATTGAATAGGCAAGAATTCTCAATATCGATGAGTCTGACTTTGGAAACTGCGAAGCACCCACAGGGTATCTCCCACCACCCTAAGCAGGCAGAGGAGGAAGGGTGGTCAGACAGCGGAAGTCAGCTGGCCTTGAGCAGGAGGTGAGTCCGCCCTGGTCCACCTGCCCACTCTGGGGCGAGGCAGAAGACTGTACCATGGGAATGGCAAGGACTGAGGTGTTAGGGTTCAGACCTAGATGTCCCCCAGAACCTTGTGTGTTCAGAGCTGGGCTTTGGAAAGCAACTGGACCACAGAGTGCTGTGCCCACCGGTGGATCCATCGTGGGTGAGGTCAGGGCTGACTGTGCTGTAGGAGGTGGGGCCTGGTGGGAGGAGGTCACTGAGGTGGGGCCTGGAAGGGTGCATTCCTGTCCCCGGCTCCTCCCTTCTCTCTCTCCTTCCTGGCCACCATGAGGTGAGCAGCTCTCCTCCACCAGACCCTTCCACTATGATGTTCTTGGAGCAGCTGACCATGCACTGAACCCAATGAGACCATGAGCCAAGTAGACCTCTCCTCCTTTAAGCCATGACAGGGAAATAACTAAGAAAACTGTATCATCACCCATACGCCTGCCTCTCTGCTGAGACCCCAGACAACCCGAGAGCCTGGGCCACAAGCACAACACCCACCTGCGGG